CATAATATTTCGGCCCCCCCCCCCCCCCCCCCCCCGCTCTGCCGCGACAAATTCCCTCTTACCACCAGGGGTTCCACGGTGACAACTGTGCCACGGTCGGGGTCGGGACGGTCGACGATGCCGGGAAGCTTCTCATGCATGCCACCCAGGTACTGTACATCGACAGCAGGTTGAATCACGTCCGTGTCGTTTCCTCCTTCCCACCACGGGACGCGAGCTACACATGTCCCTCGCCTCTGTCCCAGCTGCGTCGCGGGAGCTCCACGTGTCTTTCGTTTCCTTGACGGGTGCGCATCGCAGCCTCCATTTTCGTGCGGGTGTTGGATGTCCCCCGTTTCGAGTTCAGTTCACGGGGACGCTTCATGACCCCCGATACGTGAAAGATAGTTCATCGCCCAGTTAGGTCTGTAGATCTTCTTAACCATGTCCGATCCATGAGGGTGTGTGCCATCCCCGGTTTTCACTGTAGTTGCCAGGGGAGCACCACGACTTGTAGTTGGACCATTTCCGTGAGCAGTACCGTTGCCTAAGTTAGCCCCTGTTCATTCACCGCTGGAGCAGCCGCAGTGACCCAACCCATTCCCAACGCGGCGTATCTGTAAGCTAGCAGACACAGCAGCGCGTGTGCTTGCGAGCGCATGTACAGACGGCCGTGCTGGGTGCCACATGCCTTGCTTCTCAAGAAACTCGACCAGAATGTGATCTGGATGCTCAAAATGCTCTCCTTTTTTCTTGGCCAGGAAGCGATGATGGAAGGCGTTTCGGTGTGCCGACCTGGGGCTTGCCTCACGGAGATCGGGAGCGCGATCCACGCTGTTGCCGACCGTTACGGGTTCGACACCGTGCGAAAGTAAGTTCGCAGCCTTTTTTTTATCTTGCCTTGAAACAAATTCATCTCCTCCACTGATCAAAGTCTGGGATAAATAACTTTTGACTGGCGTTTGTTTTATTTAATTTAATTACGGAACAAAAAATGTATTTCCTCCACAGATAAGCAACCGCCTTCGCGAGGATATTATTACTTGTGTTAATCAAGGAAATAGGGAGGGGGGGCCGGTAACCCCAACCCCTAACTCCACGTACCCCCTACTATAGCCAAGCTTAGCATCCTCGCGAAAGCTTGTACTGCAGATAAGAACAGATTACATAGATTGGCGGGTTTTGCGCGAGTCTTCTCTCGTTGGTAGTTTGTCGAGAAGAGTAAGCGACAGAAAAATCGGCCTACCGGCGGCTCTGCGTTGGCAGGGCGAGATGGTCGGAACACCGGAGGGGGTGAAAGAGGTCAACTGACCTCGCGGTACGCTGCGCGGTTTTCTGATCTTGGCGATGGTTGAGTTGGATCTCAGCCGTGGTTGTTTTGGTTCCGAGTCCTGGTTGGTGTCATTTTATGAGTTGAGTTGAGAGGTCCGCAGTTGCATCGAGCCCTTTCTTTCTTTGGTGCGGGAGATTGTTAATTTGCGACAGTTTAAGAACGATGACCACGGGGCGACATAAAAAAGAAAATGGCGACAGCCCACTCGAGAAGCCCGGGTGTCGGTGTTGCCCGCTGCATCCGCCAGAAAGCTGTACTCGGTGGTCTTGGCCAATCAACGTGGGGCCTCATCCTCGTGTGCCGTTTCATGTCACATGAAACCCTCGGTATCCCGTTTTTCTGGCGTTTACCCTTTGTCATATTACATTACTCGATGTCAGTCATCAGTATTTGTACTGTAGATACCAGTACGTAATCACCCGAAGGAGTACGTATTATCGAATTAGTCTTTTGTACATTGTACCGGTGGTCGGATCATTGTACACACCTACGGGTTATACGTCGAACCGTAAGCGTATGGTATGCATACATGGGACCATTGTCCTGTAGGATATTCCCGTAGCGTTGCTACAGATCGAATTAACCGACTCGGTACCATACGTTGCAACAGCCCGTTTGTGTGCATCTTTCCGCGATAGGGTGGAGGCTCGCCCTTGTGGTGCTCGCCCCCACCTGCAAACCCTCTTTCTTCCTTCCCTACATTTATTTGTCAAGGCCCTTGGTCTCTTAAGGACTCTTTACGAGTCTCAGGACTCTCCGTTTCTCTTTCTTACCTTTCGGCCAACTAAGCACCAATTCAAACCATCCACACCCTGTACAACTTTAACTAATAACTAACTAAGTTAGTTGTTTGCCAGACAACTATCGGCTAGTTGTTCGTAAACACCTAGGTGCGCGCGCTCCTGAAAGAGTAGTCATCTACAGCCAACTAGGTGCGCACACTCCTGAAGGAGTAGGTGTCTGCAGCCAACTAGGTGCGCACCCTCCTGAAAGAGTAGGTGTCTGCAGCCAACTAGGTGCGCACCCTCCTGGAAGAGTAGGTGTCTGGCAAACAACTACCACCTAAAGTAGTTGTACAGGGTGTGAAACCATCCTCTGGTCTACAAAAGTTCTTTCCAGCAGTAGTCACTCTGTGAGCCTCCTGCACACTGTTCCATACAGCAAAGGCCATTGTCAGATATGTACAACCAAGTAAGGTTTCCATACCAAGGAAAGTTTACGCCTACATGTACAACCTCTTTTTTCCGTAATATTGTCACGTTTGTCCTGTCGGCTGGAAATGAATGCGAACCTGAATTGAAAAGTTACAATTGCGGTGTGTTTACTTTGTTTTGGCGGTGAAACATTTTTGGCTGGACAAATGCAATATACTTGAAGAACGAGAGTAGGAGGGTTTACTTCAAGTGCACCGTGTCACTCACAACCGCTGTGAGCCCTCTTCCTTCTTGTGCTGTTGCAATGCCCTGGGTGGACGGACGCGTTGGTTATATGCTCCCTCGTCTCCTGTGTAGCCTTCCCTTGACACCCCGTGCCGCACGGTCAACTTCTGTCTTCATTTTTGTGGGGATTCCTTCGGATGCTGCAGGTACTGCGGCCACGGGGTCGGGTCAAGCTTTCACATGCTGCCATTCGTGGAACACTTCCGAAACAACGTGAGTGAGTGGCACGCCACCCTAGATAGACTCCGCCCGTCCACGTCCGACACCGCTGCACGTTTGACCACCAAAAATGGTCAAAGTCCTTCGCACAAGATCCAGACTGTTATGGTTCCGCCACTACGATAGAAAATCTGCGGGGTCCGCCGGTTTAAATTAATTTTTTACGCGTTCTATGCATGTAGAGCAGAGCCGAACTTTCCCACACTGTTTTTCCTCATGCTTGCGCCGTAGGGGTAGGTGGTTCTCTGGCCAGACGTTGCTCCACCTCGAAATATCAAGATTGGAAAGGTGGTGCTTTGGCCATCCGTTGTAGCAAGTACTTCGGACAGAACGATGCAATGGCTGATGGTGTTGTACACCGCAAGCCAATACTTTCACCCCTCCCGCCCCATGTTTTGCTCGCACTACGCGTGGCGGTCCAGCGTCGGCTGGAAATGGTACCAGGGATGACCTTCACGATAGAGCCGATCTTCACCGAGGGCTCCGAGGCCACCACGCTCTGGCCCGACGCGTGGACCGTGCAGACGGTGGACGGGGGGAGGGCGGCGCAGTTCGAGCACGTGGTGCTCATCACGGAGGAAGGGCACGAAGTGCTCACGGTCCCATCGCCACGAGCATGAAAGAGTTTTTTTGGTTGGCGGCGTCTGGACGGCGGTGGTGGTGGGTGGCGGCACCATCCTTGCCGTGCGCCCTTGACCTGGGGTCTCCCGTGGGTTTTGGGTAGGGTCGCGCACCACCTGTACGGCTGCTCGATTACGACGAGGATGAAAATGATGCGTTTTCGGAAAGCCCTCGGCGAGATGGCTCCAACGCAGCACCGCCGCTATTGCTGCTGCTGCTGTGGAGAAATCGAGCTTTGAAAATCGGTCCGCTGGGGGTGTTGTATCTTTCGTCACGTACGGTACTTCAGGTAGCGTCCCCGTCGACGTTGTTACTGGCTGACAGTCCCGTAGCTCTGACCACGAAAACCGCTCAAGGCAGTCGTGATCGTCGTCGTGATCGTCGTCGTCTGCCGTGCAGTTTGCGGCCTAGAACTTGAGCCATGAGAGGATTTTTGCTGCTTTACTTCGGCAGTACCGACAAAATCATTGTCGTCGTCACGCATCGTCCCGCATCATGACAACGAGAATCATCTCTTATCTAGAAGATAAGCACGGTTGGTTGCGTGAGGCAAGCTAGCTGTGTTGCGTCAAGATAGAGGATCTTTCGTCTTTGCTTCGGTTTCGTATCGGTCCGAAGCCGCTGTGTGGAGGGACACGCTATTTTTCGGGCATTTTTGTTGCTCGGTAAATCGTTGTTTCGGACGGAAGTGGAGAGCTTGGTTGTTGGTGAGGTCAGAGCAATGACGATGACAGTGGAGGGACGCCACCGTTCCGACCGTAAAACTGGCCTGCACGTTTCGCCGTTAGCCTGTTACACTGGGAAGAGGATAGCGTCGATGGTCGTTGTTGTTGTGCACTCCTGCTTGTTTTGATCGGGGCGGGTGCAAACAATATTGTTTCATGGGCCAGTGCGCCCTACCTCTTATCCCAGCAGGGGCATCCAGTGCCACGCCCACCGGCTGGTGAGTTGTAGTACCCTTGTGTTCCCGCTAGCACCTCTAGCGTTTACGCGCTTTGTGTTTGGTCGGCAGGCGTTTGTCTGTTTGTTGGGTCGTCTTGGAACAGTTTCCAATAATGCAGGGACACGTTGTATGCGTTTCTTCTTTTTGTTTCGGTGTTCGTGGAGTTTGATTTCCTGTTGGGGTTCTCTCTTGCTTGGCGGACAAGCGACAACATGGAAAGAAAGCACGGGTGGCCAAAGGGAAGTTGTAACTGGTGCCCACCGTCCTCGGGGTCAGGTCGGGACGTTGGGGATCGACCTTGCACAACATGCAGTCTACGCTGGCAGTCCGCCCTTTTGATTGGGCCAACGCCGCAATCCGTGATGCGGGGCTGGCTGCATACGTCGGCGTACAACCCGACCCTAGGGGGGTTATGGGGAGGTTGTGCGCCAGATACAACCTGCCTTGGCCACCCGTGAGGAGTCAGATTGGCCTGAGGACCCAGCCACTTTCCGTTTGGTGTGCATACCTTGCAACGATACCTCTGAAACGAAGTGTTTTTTGAAGTATTTGATACCTTGTGGGCGAAGAAAAACTAAATGTAAAGGAAACCTGTTGTACAGGAAGGCCTCCCAGCTGTGAGAGCTTCGAGCTTTACCCCCCAGTAGAGTGCGACGTCGTGCGCCGTTGCTAGGGGCGGGGGGGCGGGGGGGGTTGAAGCCGACCGAATTCGCGAACCGTTCGTTGTTGTTGTACTTTTACCGCGAACACATGTATGTCCCGGGTACTACGATTTGTGGATGTGAGTGTTCGTCTTTCAACGGCCGTCTTTTTTGGGATATCGGCGTGTGCTTCTATGGTTATCCTTCTTGCTGCTGGTGCGACTATTTCTTTGATGCAGGTACATTATCATTGTCTCCATGTCGATCAACATAACCACAGAATCAGAGACATGGCATGGGTACTATAAACTGCACAACATGATGAAGTCTAGTAGTGTGTTGTGCGAATTTTCCTTCTTTTCTCGCGACAGTCTAATATGCATTAGAGTGAGGTCTCAGTGTAATCAACATAGTTAGCAAAGTCTAACAATGAACATTCCCAAGTCAACGTTGTCGTTTCCCGAGGAATCATATGACAAGCAAGTCCAAGGAAAATCATCATCGAAATAAAATGAATGTACTTTGCACGAACCACAGCGGCAGCAAACATTGGACGACAAGATTTCTGATGCCCGCGAGGCATTCAACCACTGCCTCGCTGCCTCGATATCGGAAGGAGTTCTCTCATCAATACATTGTATGGCACACCATGCGTCGTTATGGTTCTCCCGACAGCCGGACCTCCCATTCCTTCTGCACCCCCATTTCGCGGTGCCCCCTACCCCCCCCCCTTCTGCCCCCGCCGGATTCAAGGGGACTCCACAGTCGGGCAGGACAATCTAGCCACCGCAGCTTCGAGCTTGTCTAGCACAGCATCCAGTTCGGTGGGACCACGAGGCCGCAAGTGGAGCTAGAAGCTGAGCGTGGCGGTTGCCGCGCAATCGGGTTGTGCTTGAGAGGAAAGGGAGAAAGGGTCCTCACGGCGCTTGCGGCGCTACTATCGATAGACTGTTGCCAATCTACCAGTCAGACGTGTGCAAAGTAGCATACGGCATAGCGTCTTCTTGCCATGCCTCGCCCTTCAGGCTTCACGGACGCTGAACTTGCAGCGGCGGCATGGCGGCGGAACATGAAGAACAAGGGAGCCAACGCGCAGGGTATCGAGGTAAGCGTTGATTTTGTTGTCAGCACGGGACTCAACCCGGATTTGTTATATCTAGGTAAATGACTCCCCGGAGACCGGAGACCACCTCCGGCACTAACGCATATTGGTACTGTACATACATAGCGACGTTGTTTTTCCGCTTCCAATTTTGTAGTGTTATCTACCACTCCGGAGAGGTTCGAGCCCACAACCTGAGGTTTTACGAGGTGCACACAACTGATCACGGGGGTGACTGGCTCTCTGTTTTATGTATTTCAATCCTTTTTGGCGGATTGTACACAGCTGCAGTCGTCGGCTCGTCTTTTGGCCATCCCATGCAAACATTGTAGGAATGTCCTCATTTTGTGTGCGTGTGCATCATCGTTTTCAGCAGCGAGAGCAGAGCGCTCAAACAGAGCGCAAAGCGGAGCGCAAAGCGGAGCGCAAAGCGGAGCGCAAATCAGACCGCAGAACAGAACGCAAGTCTTCCTCCTCCGGAAGCAAGAAAAAAAAGAGCAGCAGAGACAAGGACGGCAAGAGCAAGCGGGATGCCGTGGCGAGGAAATCGATCAGAAAAAGCAAGTCCAAGCGGCGAGAGCGCAAGGAGCGAGGGGGCAGAAGCCGCAGCGTCAGCATGGGGTGCGTGCATCTACGTGGTTTGCTTTGTTTTTCATGGCGTGTGCGTTGAAAAGGGTTTGTCTGTTTTTCCACCGGGGGACGAAAGCGTAGGAGGACAACAAGTGCCCAGTACTGCGGTAAGGCCTTTGCTTGGGGGGGGTACTCTATACCTCACGCTTCTTCCCGTGTCGCTCGCCCAACACGTTCACCGAACGGCTACCATTCAAATCGATAACAGAAAACTTCATTACTTCTCCGCACCCGTCTACCGTAGGTTGCATAACATACCACACCCGTGTGATATCATTTTCGGGGGGACAAAAGTTATCACACGGGTGTGGTACTCTGTAAGGGGGTGTGATATTTTATGTCACCCGTGTGATAAAGTGCACTCACAGAGCCCCACCAACAGGGGGTGTGATAACAAGGGCTTGTTGGTGCACGATGGTTCTCCGCAGCGCGGTGCTGCTGCAGGGTTCTCAGCAGTAGCCGCGCTCAGGGTGTTGGTGGTTGGCGGGAGAGCTGCCTTTTCGGGTGTGGGTGTGGGTGCTGCGGGGGTCTCAGCAGTAGGTTGTGCTTCGCAGGTTTCAGCGGCACCCGCGGTGGCAGGCGCAGCCGGTGGGACGCTCAGCAGCGATAGATTCTGTTGGGCGGGCCTCAGCAGTACGTGCGGTGTCATGCGCGGCTGCGGAGGGAGTCGTCCCAGCAGCCCCACGCTCCCCCGGGGCGGGTTGAAAGAAGGACGCTATGGAGCGTGGGGCCGCCGCTGGAGTCTTACCCACTGCAGTCTGAGCCGCGGGGCTTTCAGCAGGGTTGCTAACTGCACCACCCTCCACGGCATTGTTGGCCTCCATGGCCTTTGCGAGTAGGTTGTTGCTTGTGATCTCATGCCCTCACGTTGTCACACCGTGTGATAAGCGGTCACACCGTCGATAATATGCGGCCCAACTTCAGGGGTGTGGTATCTTATGTCATTGTGTGATAAAATGACGCTTTTTTCGGGATTGAAAAAAATAGCACACGGGTGTGGTATTGTGTACGTTTTATGAGGGGGTGTGGAATCTAACAAAAATGTGATATCTTATGCAACCTACGATACTTTACAGCAAGCACCCAAAATGCACCTCTACCCTAGCAGTTGGTTGTTTCGATTCTCTGTCATGTACCCTCCGCCTGTAGCTGTACCCGACCTTAAAGGGGGTGCGCTACGCCGGCGGCGTTTTCACGACCCTCGTGGACCCCCGCCAATCATCGAGGAGACACGTGGTTCCGTACAACAACCAACGACGCCTACCCGCCCCACGCGCCTGCCGTCTGTTTGTCGCTGTTGTTCCAAACAGGAGCGTCGACTCCCTCGGGCGGCAGCGCGTGAGGCGCCGCCGTCGCCGTCGTTCCCCGTCGGCCGGCGGCAGCAATGGCAGCAGCCCTAGCCGGCAACGCCGCAGAAGAAGGCGCGAGCAAACAAGGGGACGCCCACCCGCCTCCGGCAGAAGAAAGCGGTCGGACGACGATGATGATGAGGAGATGGACGACTTGGAGAAGGAGTTTGGTTGGAGGGGGATGGTGGCGAGGGCGTCCAGGAGCCCTAGCATCACCACCACCACCACCACCAGCAACAGCAGCAGCGGTAGCAGCGGCGGGGGGGGGGGGGGCTGGAACACCCCCTACCCCCACCGCGGTAAA